GAAAAAAAAAAAAAAAAAAAAAAAAAAAAAAATATATATATATATATATATATAAAAGCAAAAATCACCCATTCTAACGGGAGATCGATAACTTCAGTTGTTCCGGAGGGAATGCACGTGATCGGATTGATCACCTCTGTGACGTCATCGATCAGCCACGTGATGCTCTCAGTGTCCACTAGATGTCTCCAGCGTTCATCAGAAAACATTGAAGATGAACACAATACTTCACAATAGTGCACTACATACTACATACTGCGCTCAATATGATTACGAGCATGGCCTGCTGTGGCGCAGTATATGTAGAGAACCGATTCAAACACTAGACCCCAGTTATCATTTCAGGAATATACTTTTGAATTTGTAATCTACTTTTGTGTAAAAAAAAAAAATGTCTGAACTTTGAGTCAAGAAAGAGATGAAATCATGGTTTATGTATTTTCTGGTTCATTCATTCATCACACTGGAAATGGAAGGAGAAACTAGTAGGGTTAGGGTTAGTGTGGTAGTGAACACCTGACCATATTAACCACTTACCTTAGTACAGTAACTTCCCATATTCATTGGCGATGTTACAGTAGTAACTGCAGTAACCGTGGTACTTAGGGTGGAAACTGCGGTTTCCATGGCAACCTCTTCCCCAGCTGCTGGAGTCAGCATAGTAACCAGACCATAATACCCCCCCCCCACACACACACACTTGAATCTGTTTTGATTTTTTTAAGGACTTTTAGGAGAAATATCTCCGATAAAGTTGATATTTCTAAGAAATACAGTAAAGAACGTCATTATGTTTACTGACCAAAAAAAGAAAAAAAGAAAGAAAAAAAAGACAATCACAATAAAACCCCAAATTTTACATCTGATCTCTATGGAAGCTTGTTTCTGGCTCAGAATAAAAAATAAAGTATTTTCTATTTTTTACTCGCAATTCTGAGTTTACTTTTCAGAATTTCGACTTTTTACTCGCAATTCTGAGTTTATATCTTGCAATTTCGACTTTTTACTCCCAATTCTGAGTTTACATCTCGCAATTCTGAGTTTACTTTTCGCAATTCTGAGTTTACTTTTCGGAATTTCGACTTTTTGCTCGCAATTCTGAGTTTATATCTTGCAACTCCGAGTTTACATCTCGCAATTTTAACTTTTTACTCGCAATTCTGAATTTACATCTCGCAATTCTGAGTTTACTTTTCGGAATTTCTACTTTTTACTCGCAATTCTGAGTTTATATCTTACAATTTCGACTTTTTACTTGCAATTCTGACTTTTTACTCCCAATTCTGAGTTTATATCTTGCAATTCCGAGTTTACATCTCGCAATTTTAACTTTTTACTCGCAATTCGGAGTTTACATCTCGCAATTCTGAGTTTATATCTTGCAATTCTGAGTTTACTTTTCGCAATTCTGACTTTTTACTTGCAATTCTGAGTTTACATCTCACAATTTTAACTTTTTACTCGCAATTCCGAGTATCTCGCAATTCTGACTTTTTTGAGAAAATAAGATGTCACAATGAACTTTTTTTTAACCTTTTTAGCATGTGTTGGAAACAAGCTTCCACAGATCTGTCTCTTCTCTGCATTAAACAACGTTCCATCAAATGTTGAACCGAAGTCATGATGACAGACAACTGAAGAACAATCACACGACGATTCTGGAATCAAAATATTTAATAAGTACATTAACAAGTATTATACCATGTATAAAATTCGGAATCACGATTCGAAGCGATGTTTCTGCAGGGACCGCAGATCAGATTTGCCACACTGAAACAGCGAACGGTGAAAGTCAAACAGGTAGGAAAATAAACCGACGGCTCCGTCACAATCTCATTTCTCATCATCAGTAAGTGCAATAAAACGTAAAACACCACAGGAAAGCGCAGCAGAAGAGCGAGAGCGTGAGAGAAAACAGCCAAGATCACAGACGAGAGGAAAGCCAGCACTGGAAATCAAAGACGGGATATCACTGTGGGAATGACACACGTCACAGACGAGCGGATAAACATCGTACATCTGCAGTTCCTGAAAAACAAAAGCAGAAATCACCACGAAAAGAGACGAACAGGCCGAGCAACAAACAACCGAAGGGAACAAACAAGGAACAGATGAACGCTTCGGATCACGTTCACGATGATTGAGCAGCGGATTCGCTCCATCTGTCACGACAATCCAGCTGAAGATGGAGAAACATCAGCAGATCTGGAGAGATTCGCACTGACTCTCCATTTCACCGCAGCTTTCAGCTTCATTAGAGCAGCGGATCAAAGATTCAGTCATTCGATTCCCGTCAAGAACACGTTTGACTCAGTTCACTCCGAAATGAACCAAAGGTACAAAGAATTATATTTTGCATTAAGAAAATGAAGCCTATTTTAAAGACCATGCAGATATTCTAAATAGTGACATTATTTTTTTTTATTAAATGTAAACACATTTTATGCCATTAATATAACGCAAAAAAACTGATATATTATTTTTTGTTAAATTGTATTTATATACTTTAAATATTAAAAGTAAATATAAAAATGATACATATTAAAATCATTTACACATTGTATTTGTTGCACTGCCTCTAATTTTATGCTTGTTTTAATAACAAACATCTTTTTTCTTTTTCTTTTTTTAACAGCAATTAGACTTGAAAATCATTGAGACTAAAGAGAAATAAAAAATAACTCAAAACTAAAACATATGGACACATTCATGAGAATTTGGGATAAAATGTGTTTAAGTGTGTCACGATGCAAATTATCATAAAAATAGGTTTCTTTTGTGCAAAATATAATTATTTTATATTTATTTATTTATTTTATATTTATTTAATTGCATAATTTCAATTAAATAATAATTAATATAATTATGTTGATTTCAAATTTAATTATACAGAATAATTATTTGAACTATATATATATATATGTATAGTAAATAATTTATTTTATTTTTGGGTGAAATTAGTTGGAAGTGTTTTTGACAGGGTTTGATTCCTACGTTAACATTAATTTGACTGATTCAGGAGATTCTGTGGTCACTGCTGATCCAGACGCTGATGATGTTCATGATGTGTGTCGACGGGTTCGAGTCCCAGCGTCCGTTGGGTTTGCGGGCGTGAACACAGATGTCAGGCTGGTGTGTGTGTGTGTGTGCGCGCGTGTGTGTGAGAGACGCTTGTGCGGAGAGCAGATCTTTGTCCGTTTTTTGTGGAAGAGATTCATCGTCCTTTGCTGTATCCGGGGAAGAACTGATCCAGGAGCAGCTGAAGGGTTTTGTTGAGGCTCATAGCGTAATCTTTGCCCAGATCGTGACGGCAGGCGGGACACGAGAAGACCTCGGCGCGGAACGAGCGCTGCAGACACGCCTGGAGGAGAACACACACACCGTTACTGACACACACACACACAC